ACAACAGTACCAGATCCAAGAACGGGTGAGGTAGATCCATCAGCTAAAGTGACACTAGAAGTAGGTAAATATGAATGAAATGACGAGAATAGACTAGGATTACCGGTCATATGATCCGTGGCACCTGAGTCAATGACCCATTTCGAGGATGATGAAACAAGACATGTGTTTGAAATACCTGAATTCGCGGCTACCGAGATAGGGACAAATGAATGCTTTAGAGATTCTTGGTAGCAAATAAATTTGGCATACTCGTCTGAAGAGATGGCAATTGATCCATCCGATGTACCGGCAGCGGAAGCAACATGAGCAAGCTGATTTCCTTGATTTTTGAACAACAATTTTCTACATTCTTTAATCAAGTGTCCGGGCTTCTTGCAGTAATTGCATTTTACTTCTCTGCCAAACTGAGTGGTACAAGACATTTTTTTTTTTTTTCAGTTGGCAGTGAAATGAAAATTTGGGATACTAGGGTAATAGTCAAAACTTACGGACTCCAGGCTAGAATATCAGCTAGAATAGTTCTGAGCCTTTAATAATCAAGAAGTCGTAAACATCAGACACCACAGACCAGCACGACACCTTTAGGCAGTCTCATCCGTTCCTTGCTTGGAGAAAGAACCAAGAGAGAATTCCAAAATGGAAATAGAGTATACCTGAAACTACCGGGCACAGGTTGTAGAGGACCCACATGCGAGTCAGGAGATGATTACCGATCAAATCTCCCGCCAGAAACGAAGTCGCACGCGCCGGCGCGTGCAACGGCGGCGAGCACTCCGGAGGCGCGTGTAATTCACGTGCGTCGATTTGGAGCTGCGGATTTTGAAGTCTTTGTCGCCGACGGCATTCGCACCAGATTACTAGGTCCACGTTCACCGCACCAGATTTGGAGGCTAGGAGGGTTGCCGGCTTCTGAGATCGGAGGTTCTGGGAAAAATTCGGGGAAGAGTCTGGGACAAGGTTCTGGGAGTCTGGACTGAAATCAATTTCTAGGAGAAAGAAAACAGTCTGAAAACTAAACTCAGATATGAAAAAAAAAAACTAAGCTGAAAAGAATACAGAGGTTCTGTGAACTGAGATTCTGAACTAAACTGATATTCTGGAAACAAAGGAACCAGCCTGAAAACTAAATTGAAATGGGAGGCTCTGATACCATGTTGAAATATAAACCAGAATGATATTAAAGATGTAGAGAATGATTTTCTGTATTTTTTATTGAAGGGTAAGGCCCTATAAATATAGATTACAAAGGTAGAATATGCCTATAAAAGATGCTATACAATAATACTATATATGGTATATTCCTAATATATTCTAAAGCATATTCTAAAGTATATTCTAATATACTTTCACACTATCCATGGAAAATAGCAACACTTGATGGGAAATTATATTGTAGTTTTAAATCTTTTGATGTGCCTGGATAGGCCAATTTCACATTGCTTCCGTTTTAGATATTCATTCTATTAACTCATGCCTTTCATCTATCTGGGAAATGTATTGCTCTTTGTATGAGCTGGATAGGCGATTTGGCAACGATTAAGGATAAAACTTTGATGCATAGTGTGTGTGGGGGGGAGGGGGGCAGTAACAATAGCTGTAAGACTTGGGGATGGGGTAGGGTAAAACTAAGAAAAAGTAATTATGAGTGATTTACTCAAGGCTTAATGAAGCTTTCTCTGTATAATATTCTATTGTTGCCCCTGTTATCTAATTTACATTACCTGTTTTGTTAGCTTAGAAAGCTGTAACAATCTCCTTACATTTATTCTTTCAGGTCTTGAGGTTGCATCTGGACTTCTCGGATTCTTCTTACAAAGAGACAAAAAAGGAAGAACCTACTTCCACCACCAGTACAGTACACGCTGGACTGGTCCCTGTCCATGCTGCTATTTTGGCTGGAGCAGTTGTACTAACAAGTGTTGGTGTATTAACTTACATGAAGCGCTCAAATACATGATCTAAGGGGAGTCATTAATTTTGGTTCCAGAGTGCTCCTCGCCTCCTCATGCTCTTTTTTGTGAAATTTGTTGAGTATGCCTATACAAAGATTATCTGGTAATTGATAATGTCTGTACAAGTAGGTGGACACTATGCAGTGATCCCTGAAAGAGTGAAAATCATCTCTCTGCACAAATTCCTCATTTCTGAGCTTGATAAAAAACAGTAGAAACATTACATCTGTTAGTGAGATGATGCGGGTAATACTGAAATCTGGACTGCATTTTTCATTCCTCTCAGCAATGATAGGTATGTGGTTTTGTTAGTCATAATATGACTAAATGGTTTCAAGTATTTTATGTATTTGGTTACTTGCCAAGTTTGTTGACAACTGAAGCCTGAAGGTCAAACGAGTCTTTATACTACATATATCATGTAGGGAATATGTAGTTTTGTTCCCAAGCAAAATGTTCATGTGTGAAGCTCTGTTTCATTGCTTGCTAATTGGGTGATATAGAGGATTGATTATCTCCTGATTCTGGAACTGGCCGTACAAATAATAGTTTGTTTCCTCCAAAAAATCCAGAGTTGGTCTAAGCTTGTTTGGTTCTTCCAAAATGCCTTATGAAATCCAGACATGGAGCGTACTAGTTATTTCTGATTACACACAAGGCCTACTTTGGAGTTTGGACCCATAACATGCTGGATATCGTTTAAAGCTTGGTCTATCCCTGATTGCTGGGGGGGGGGCAAAGCATTTAAAGCTCCATTCTGAGTAGAAGTTTAAGTGTACTGGATATCGTTTTAACCTGGTTCGGAACTGGGTATATTCAAGTACCTTGTGTTTTGATCCCATACTTTGATCCCATGTGTATGGGATCTGTGCCAGCCCAAAATGCCCACCTTTATGAGAAACGGAAAGGTCATGAATCATGACAACTGTCAAGAAGCAGTGAGAGTTCAAATTCTTGGACGAAAGCAGATGGAGCTGTAAAAAGATGCAAATTAAAACTAAACGGGTACGCTTCTCTTCTCCATATAAGTATCAATAAACCATAGTCTTATCACATAGGAGATATAATCATATAAGTTGAAATCTAACTAGCTCCTAGGAACCCATCTTCATACTACGAATGAAGGAGTATTCTCATCCTCAACTAGTGTTATTTTATAAATAAATTCATTTTTAAGTGTGTAACTCCGTCTCTAGCTCCTAGTTCCTAGCACAGAAAATAAGTGTGTTAATGTATTTGATGTCAATTTACACATCAAACAAACAATTATGTATATGTTTTTTATATTCTCATTTTTAACAAATTGCCCATATACACAGATAGGGGTGGACTCGGGCCGGTTCGGGCCCGGTTCGGGCCTGGGCCCGGCCGGGCCTCGGGCCAGAAAACTAGGGCCCGGGCCCAAACCGCCGGTGGGCGGTTCCGGTTCCGGTTCCGGGCCAAACCGGGCCGGGCCGGGCCGGGCCGGGCCAACCAGTCTATTTTTTTTTTTTTTTTGGGTTCTCCTTTTTAACCCCCTACCCCTCCCCCTCAACCCCAAACCATCCCAAACCACCTCAAATGGCCCAAAATACCTAATCCAACCCAAAACTTAAAAAAATTTCAAAAAAAAAAAAAAATTAAAATCCGGCCCGGACCGGGCCCGAACCGGCCGGGCTGGTTCACCAAATGGAGGGCCCGGGCCCGGAACCGGTATCCACCGGGCCGGTTCGACCCGAACCGCCGGTGGACCGGGCCACCGAGCCGGGCCGGTTCACACAGTAACCGGGCCGGGCCGGTTCCGGTTCGGGCCGCCCGGCCCGAGTCCAGCACTATACACAGATATCTTGAGCGGCGTGTACGAAAACGTATACAAATGGCGTGTGTACTCTACTACTCTGGCATGTTGAATCATACTTTATTTTCTGGATAAATCCAATGTTTAGTTGTGTTTAAGAAACATTACTTGAATAAGAACCAACATGTGACCATTCCAAATGTATACGTTCAAGTCCACCTCTTGGTACATGTATATGGGCCCAAAACCATGTTCAACTTTCACTGTTCTACAAGTTCTCTTGTAGATGCAGATTGGGCTGAAAATCACATCTTTTTTCCTGTTTAATTATTTTAATAAAATAATGATTGATTACGTTCAATTTTTTAATTGAATATGAATGCGAATTATAATGTCATACAATTTTAAAGTGGATTACAATCTTGATTGCAGAAGATGACGCCCACGGAGGCACTTGCCTCCACATTGAGATGATTATCTCGAAAAAACATTTGAATCACACAAAAGTGAATCCTAATCTCAATAGCACAAAATACGGATTACGGAGTATGATTTTGCATGAAGGTGACGGCTAAAAAAATCTACTCATGCAAAATTCTTATAGACAGAATTATGGTTGATAGCTCATAAAATTGCTAAATGATGATGATTGGTCATTGTAAAATGATACTCGCTTTGTCCCTTTCTAATTATCTTATTTGCCCTTTTAGGTTGTCCCAAAATGAATGTCATATTTTCATTTTTGACAAGAAATATGTAATTCATATCATTTTACTTCATTCTACTCAAATCTCAATCACAATTTTTATTTTTCAACAATTTTATTAATAATAGTGTATAACTAAAACAAAATATTCAATATGATACGGAGGCTAACCTGATTGTGATTCAACATAATATAATGACATTAAGATCTTTGAGATAGTTAAGGTAGCAACCTTGCGACCATTATTGTCACTAAAAGCATTTTCAATAAAGCATTTTCAATGTAACAATGTATTTAGTGCATACATGATATAAGATAAATACACATAAAATTAAATTAATGAATAATGACACTTCTCTCTCATTATTGCATTCTATGTTTCTTTTTCTCTACACCTAAATGTTATATATGACATTATAGAAAAATAATGTAAAAAATAAATAAGATCATTCAAATAAAGGAGAGATTCCATTTGTTAATTTTTATGTGTTGCACCGAGGGTTGATGTGACATGAAAGACAAAATGTTTCTCTTTCTTAGGAAATGAAATGAATCATCGTGTTGATAATGCACAAGTGCAATATAAATGATTAAATGAAATGAAATTGTCTTTATTATGTTGCAAATTTTCTATTCTCGGTTCTAAAATGACACTATTTTCGCACAACACTTGAAATTAGAACATCGCACCTTATTTTTTGCTTGATTATTCCACACACAAAAAACGTAGTGTGTATATTATGTGCCATATAGTTCAATTATATATTTGGTCATAACCTATGACGACAAACTCATGAATGGAGTAGCACCATGTAGATCACAACAGCCCCCATTTCCATCTACTCTACTCCACACTGAGTATGATACATCTCTTCATTTGCCTCCCTAGTCCATGATGCCTTGATACATGTGCTTTCAGCCCTGTTTCCAATGCCACACCAAGCTGCTCCGCAGCATCTGTTGAAGCTGCATTGGAGGCATAGTTGCTGCTGCTTACCATAATCATCATTATACTTATTGCCTCACTCCCTCCACTTCAGCAGCAGCAATGTCTTGAGAGTTGAGATGGCCTTTCCAAAGGTAAGAGCAACGACATCAAGTTATGTTCAGAGACCATTTATTATTACCTTCCCTGTTCTTTTCCGTTGTGATGCAGCCATTCATTCCAGGAAAGTGAATGTAAGAGGGAAAGGGTATACTAAATTCGTTTCAACAGTCACTGTTCATATTCAACACTTTGTTGCGAATACAGGGCCTAGATGTATTTTCTTCACCATTTATTGCTACATGTCGTTACAAATTTCACCTCTGCACAGGTGGTTGTCTGTCTGTCGATTTCCTTTTTACCTTGAGTGACAAAAGACGTGAAACTTCATGAAGGCCCCCCCATTTTTCCAATGCACGAGCAATATCATAGCGGCCTGTAATAGTTAATAATAATGTATTAATCTAAACTAAGCACCAATAGCAATGGTTGTTTTAAGCACTTTTTATTATAAGAAATTTCCCAAAGGAAGGCACCTGCTCGTTCAAAAGATTTTCTGCTGGGCATATAAGTCAGATCCATTCCCCAGATTCTTTGGAAACGACTAACCTGAACAATTCATTTCATCAAAGGATCAATTTTTAAACATGAGAAAAATGAATGCATTGTCATTATTTATGAGTAATGAGTGAATGGAATGAGATTTCCATTTAGCTTTGTTGAACAAAAGAGACCTCATCTTGGAGATTCTCTAGGCTATCCCAGTAACCTTTTGGTTTCCGTTGTTTATATGAAAGGGAGAGATTCATCAAAAATGCAACTCTTCTAAATCCACCCATTCTTGTAACTGCTTTCTCAATGTCCACCCTTCCATGCTTACGCAATTCCTTTCTCATGGGCATAAATCCCACATGCCCGTGCTCTGAAATAAAAGACAGAAGCTCCGCTTTTAGAACTTCCATATCCCTCTGCAATCCAGGAACTTTGGGTCTTCGTCTGATTGATTTCAAAGCAATGGGATTTGGATTCTTTTCAGCTATCTGACTGGAGTCAGCAGGCGAGTCGTTGTCATGAAGAGTTTGTGCCTCACCATCTGCCACTACAGCATTAGCCGCCTCTCTTTTTTCAATGTAATCTCGAATAGCACATAGGTTTGCAGGGAGGTCTTCATATATGACCTACAATATCAGGAGGACTACCTTTAAGTGTCTTCTTAATCATGACCTCCATCCCAAAATTTAGCTGATTTCATTTAAGGTACAACCTTACAAGTTTAAAAATTTTAAGCGTCCAACTTTTAAAACTCATTCATCCTAAAACTTGCTTATTTAGAGCACTCTTAAAGAAAAATAAGTTTTGAAACAAGGTTGATACTTTGGGACCTAAGTAGTTAAATCGCTACTTGGTAGCAACTCGGTCAAGGGCCGAGTAGCAAGTAGGACCTAATACTCGGGATTACTCAATGACTAGTTGGTCCTATATTAATTATTTTTAAATATATAAATATCCAAAATTATAGTAATATATTATTCTTAAAATTTTTAGATATGAAAAAAAATCCCAATGAAGAAGAAACGAAAAAGAAGATAAAGTCATGGAGGAGAATAACTTACCTAGAGATGAGGAGGAACCACTGCTCAAATGAGCAGATGTATGAAATACTTTTGAACCTAGACTTTTTAAAGTTTATTTCCAATTTTTAAAATACCCACTTAATATTTATAAATTCCATAATATCCCTCTTTAATTAAAACTTTTCAGATTTAACAATAAACAATTTTTTTTTATGCCTGACCGAGTACTCGGCAAGTAACTCAGAAATATTATACGGACCGAGTCAAGTAGCTAATCGGCAAGGTCACCACCGAGTTGCGACTTGCGAGTACTCACCCAGTAGATAACCCAGTTTGGGACATAGAAAAAAGAAATAAAACTTTAGTCAAATTATATTATACTCCCTCCGTCCCACTAAGAATGTCTAATCTTTCCTTTTTGGTCCATCCCACTAAGATTGTCACATACCAAATTTGGTCAAATTCGTGTGGTCCCAACTCATTCTTACTTCATTTTTACTTTATCAATTCAATATCAACCACATAAACCCACTTTTCTTAATAACAACATCACCTCCTCATGTCCCAATGTTAGTGTTGCGGAGGTAGTAAAAGGTATGACGAACTCTAGGACAATACACCCAGAGTTCCATTGAGACATAAATGTAGTAGAAAACTTTACAAATAAAAACAAAAAAACAAGAGCCGAGCATATAATGATTTGATCGTAGAAGTGAAGAGAAACAGCTAAAATAAAGACCTCTTCCATAATTGCTTCAGATAGAAATGAGTTCTTGTGCATTTTGGACTCCACGCTATATTTCAATAGTATATGATGACTTCCTAGTTGCTCCAGGAACCATTTTCCTTTAAATGAATCGAAGTCCCCCTCAACCTGCTCAAAGCTAATCTCTTCTTCAGCCCTTTCACACAACTCTAGGATAACATGTGCATGAAGTGCCATATATAGAAGACCCTTGCATCCTTCCTGTAAAATGAGGGGTCATTTTCGGATGATTGTCATTTGGCATGCCTATGTATTATATCGTTGGCACTTTTACAGGAGAAGAAATATTATCTAAACAACAAATCAACCCGCCCCTCCAAGTGGTTAAGTAGTGACCATGTGTCTTCAATAAGTACTCATGATGCATTCCTACAACACTCTGCAAGGGCTTCTTAATGGTGATCCAAACCGACTAGCAAAAAAATTATAAAACTCATTTGACTCACAAGAAAAGGCTTTGGAAATACCTGAAGAATGCGAACTTTGTTATGTTCTCGTGATAAGATCTTACACATAGCTAAATTGGGAACTATCCTGCATATTTCAGTAGAAAAGTTCATCAACAGGTAACCTTGACAGCAACTGAACACGGATGCTGAATGCATTGCATAACGTTTAGGTTTCTAAGACTTTTAGATGAGAAAGAAATTGCACTAATTTTCTGCCAATATATTCTACTAAAACTCTGATTTATCTTTCTTGCAAGTATCTTTTTGTCCTCTTTGTGTTTACTTTATACTTCTTTCTACTTTCTAGTTTTTGTATGCACAAAATGCACGCCGATCTTTACTCAGCATGTTCAGTGAATTTATGAAACAAACTATTGAAAGAGAAGCTGGACTGAACTTCAGTCACTTGGCAACGATCAAAACGAAAGAATGTCTTACATGGCTAAAGTATACTATGCTTTTACAACATAATATCAGTCCCTTTACAGAAACAGATGTTCCTCAAGAAAATGTATTTCAGTGTAGCATAGAAAATTTTAATGCTTGCATAGTGAGATGGAAATGAACACTGTAAATCATTGGATACATATTAAGGCAACAGAGGGTATACTAGCAAAACATACAAGGTATGGGAACTGAAAGGCTGCATTTCTTACTCAGGAAGATTCTCATAAGAAGTCAAAACACTCCACACTTCATGAACAGGAGCCCTAACCGTTATGCTAGCAACAACACAGCGATGGACACCATCGTTTTCCTTCAGTGGAAAAAATCAATTTGCTAGCAGGTTATTTTTGTATATAGCAATATGGTTTTCCAGATAAAGGCGTGGGGCAGGTGCAGGGTCAATCAATTACCAATAATCCATCAAATCTGCGAAGATGAACTTCATCCACCGTGCTTGTCCTGTTAGCTTTGAAGTTTTTCCCAAAAAGTCCCCAGTTACTGTTTACTTCACCAATAGAAGGAACCCCCCATGGGGCAAACGTAGCTTTTGTTAAGTTACCCTTGAGTGCACCAGTGGAGAGTTTATCCTTTTCTGGTGCCAAAACATCAACATTTGTGCTTGATGAAACAAAGGAAGCAACAGAGTTTGCGCTCGTGTTTGCATTGATGGAAATTGTACTTTGAGTGCCAACAAAATTGTTTTCGGCTTGGGAAGCTAATGCATAAAGATTCACAGGAAGGTCTGATCTGATAATTCTCTCCAAGAATATTGCTGGAAAGTTAAACCTTGGAATCACATTGACTTCATAACACAGCATAGTCAATGAAGATCTGAAAGAGAAAGTCAGAAGTTTTCTTGTAAATGATAAACTGTAACAATAAAATGAAAGAGCTGCATTAAGATTCTTAGTAGATTATTTGATGAATGTGATGCTATCTAGGATGCATTTGATGACGAGAACTGCTAGGTGCTAACAAGAGAATATTAAAATAGTCAAGCCTTTTGAATAAAGATGTATATTGGAGCTATGATCAAGGAACTGAGGAAGAAGCATACGTAAACTGCTTTTAAGAAAAGGTATAAAAGAAGAGGCCTGGGACCGTGTTAATACAATATCAATCTTCTGATGGATCAATGACTGAAGCTACTATCACATGTCCTCGTCTCATTATACTTCCAGGCAAGTGGAAAAACCTATTATGCTTTTGGGATCCAATCTCATTACTAAGGGAATCAGGTGTAAAACTTTGTCGTTGTGATTGTGTGCATAATTTGTGGTCACAAATAATACTATAACTTTAGCCAATTAACTGACACTATAGTTTTCATGTCACCAACCCCAACATAGTCAAGATTAGGGGTGGTGGTGGTGGTGATGCAAACACTTTTTTGCTTAAGGTGAATAATTATCTAGTAGTATTTACTATTCCAGATTTACATAGTTAGAACCTTAGAGGTAATATAAGAGGTCAAGGTAACACAAATACACAATAATACTAAAACATGCATTTTAGTAAAGAATGTAACTGAGAAAGATAAACTTAAATGCGGAGTTCGCTGAAAAACACATTTGTTTCTAAGAAATATAAATTGCCGCTATATCTAAATATCTTCAATACTTTCATGAACAGTGCATTTCCTTCCAATCAATGGGGTGATTTTCTTTATTTGAAAAAACATGCTTGGAATATTTTAACGAGAGTGAATCTAAGATGTTTTTTTATTTACAAAAACAGCAATAAGCGAAAAAGTTGTTTTTGAGAATGTTTTTGAGTTTGCCAGAAGAAAACATGTAGCATACAAAAGGTCAAATTGGAACTTAATGCGTTGTGTCACATTTCCTGTCAATATTAACTGGGCGTTGTGTCACATTTCCTGTCAATATTAACTGGGCCATTTTCCCCCTTTTGGTCAAAAGTGGCTACTGGCTACCCCCTATCCCCTGGTATATTAAGACTTTAAAGCAAAAGGAAATGGAACGGGGAAAGAATAGCTCTACTCATACATTTTACCTTCCTCCAGATTTGACGGACCATTTACCTTCAAACTTCTTGAAGTCACCGTCAACCATGGAAAATCGGAGTTCACGCATACTTTCCTGCCCAGAGAAAAGGTGATACTGGTAAAGATTAAGATAACTGTACAATTTTATGAAACATTTTATTTAGAATTAAATAATATATATAATATAAGCTAGGCCAAATAATTAGTGATTCAGTGTCACTACTTTGTAACAAACGATTAAACACTATAAATATCAGTTTTAACTCCCAATAGGATCTCACTGCACTTTGCTCACCACACAACTATGAGTATGTGAGGTCATTAGTGGAGTAAAAGAGAGAAGAAGAGAAAAGAACAAGAGAGGGCAGAGCCAACCTTGCAATCAAACCAAGAAGTGGAAGGGCTACTGATATTGTGAAGGCACCTTCTAACAAGAATGAATTATTTCTGACACATAATAGAGCTACTAGCCTATTACAGCTTCTTCAATGTACTGCTCGTTAGCAAAAAAAGGGAGGAAATTATGAGGTTTGTCAAAGATTTAGTTGAGGTTGTGTTGAAGCCTTGTCGCCTTGAGCCCTTGACCATCTAGGCTCTAATATGGCCTTCTTCTATGGGAAAAGAGGAACAATCTAGCCATACACATATGAGTAGAAACTTAAACCTTCTGGCATGATTAGATCTAGCTACCCCCACCCCCCTTCCTCGTGAATTATTTCTTTTATTACTCCCTCCGTCCCATTTTGGTTGTCCTACTTTCCTTTTTGGGTTGTCCCAAAATGAATGTCTTGTTTCCTTTTTTGGCATGAAATATGTGGTTCTTATCAATTCACTTTATTCTACTCAAATCTCAACCACAACTTTTACTTTTCAACCACTTTATTAATAATCGTGCCAAATTGAAAGTGGACAACCATTATGGGACGGAGGTAGTATTGTTTTTTCATTTTTATACAAAATGAGTAAATGCTATGGAAGGCCAGGTGTAGGCTTGTAGCCTCGTTACCCTGACAAGTTCCCATAATTTGACGCAAAGCATGATGAGAAGACCAAGATTGGTCAACTTTCACTAGGAAGCACTAGATTAGGCAAGAATTAATAGTCAATGAAGAAAAGGTCAATATGATCATGGGATTAAATGATAAAAACATTACAAAATAGTATGGATCGCTGGCTGTCGCATACTTTAAAATATAAGCATGGTGCTGTATAAAAAAATCTCAAGACATTAACCTAACACGCTTAAAAAGTTATAGAAGCTTACTGAGCTGATACATTCTTGGAGATCCAACACAACACGGGCTTCAATGTGCCAATATAATGCTTGTTGCACACCCCTCTGCTCCAACCAAATCCTTCCGGGATAAGGACAAGGAATTCTCTTGCTAACCCAACATTTTTGTTGATGTGAGAAATAGTAAGATAGAAAGGAAAGTATCAAATTTAGAACAATGATTAGCTAATTTTCTGTGGTGGTAAATCTGTTACCTTATTGTTACATGATTAAATAAAAGATAATTTTTACAGATTTAGAAATACATGCATATTTAAAGAATGTGAATTCTCTGTGGCTGCCAGAGTAGAGATAGCAAATGAGTCATTATAATGGGGAATAATGTAATTCTGTTTGAAGTGATGACTACCGATCTCCACTAAGGCACTAATCTATTGTATATCAACTCTAATCTATTGAGCAAAAAAACACTCATGTCAAATCCAATGTAATTATATCTACATATACTACAGAGTAATATACTATTTTTTATTTGGTTCTGTATCTTACTTTTGATATCATGATATGATTCATAAAAAAAAATATCTTGCGACTGAGGACTTAAATCCCGATTCGATAACCTTGTTAATATCCATCTCATTTCTCAAATAAGTAATATGAACACAAGTGATAAATCAACTTGACTGACAAACACATATGAGCATAAATGCTCAATTATTTTAAAGATGGAATCCAGTTGGAACGCAACTGGATAATACGTAAATTGCCAGCAGTGTCCAGGCTTCAGAACTATGAAAAGGAAAATAAAAAACAAAAACAAGAGAGAAAGAGCGAACAAAGTTCCGCATTCATAGCAACGAATCAACTACCAACCAATGACCATTGACAGCAACCACTGGATGGCTTGTAAGGTGTAGGGTTTTCCGAGTCGGGCACATGCATGGGGAAAAAACTGTGTATGGCAACACGCCAACACCTAGTCAACACTGAGGGATGCCAAGGAGACTTCAGGGAAGTCGATCGAGCATGGCACAGCTCCTCCATCACTGGGACGTCTAATCGACGTATACACGTGATAGCTATGGTACAGACTGATGTATTTAATTATTTATAATTGATTCAAGAATCGTGTTTGATTTCAGCATAGAAGTATAAAAGTAATTGGGACTCAGAAATGATTTAGTTCTGTTTTTGAACTGCTAGGTGTGTACCCACTTCGTAAGTTTATGTGTTAAACTGTTTGGAGGTTAAAAGGTGTTCATTTTGGGTTTCTTAAAAGGTATGGTTTGGTATTGGTATGGTAGTATGGTAGCATACTGTTTTGAAACGGCAGGACACCAAACCATATGAAACGTCATGGTACAAGTTGTTGGAATTTACCCAGACTGTTCCCGGCGCTACCTTCGACAACTCAACCATGAACCATCCATTCTTTCTGCTCCTTAGAATGATGGAAACTAATCTCAACCTCATGATCCCTATTACCGAAATATAATTGGCGGTTTTTAGGTTGTTGGCCTCCGAGTATCAAAGCATTAATAGATTGATGGATCTGTCTTTGCATCTTGAGTATATATATGCCCTTACTCCTCATACTTCTCGTCACTGGGTATGCCTAATGATGTGGGAAAAAAATTGGGCTCAAACTTAAATGAATCATTTCGTAGATTGCTAGTATTTCTTGCTTATTTTTATAATTGAAACGAAAATATTAAAAATAATAATTCAATAAACCTACTATTGTTTCAAAGTCAATATATCTATATTTAATACAACAACAATGATCATATCTGATCTTCCTTTGCATTGTTCAAAGTAAATGAAACAAGAGAAAAAGACTTTCCTTTACAATTACTTTCATTTTCTGAGCATTTCCAAGGATCCAAGCATAACCTTAGTAGCATGACCTTAGTGTATGGAGGGGCAGAAATAACCAAACCACTTCCAAACTTCATAGGGGGAAGTAAACAAAAGTTTCATTCAGTGGGTATCGACATATCGTATCAAATGGAGGACAGTATTTTGAAGATAGGGAATTAAAAAGTTGGAGTGGTGATAAACCCTCTTGTCTCACAACTACGCAAATTTTGACTTTTTAAGTAAAGTGTTATCATTTTTATCAGTTGATTATTTAAAAACTAGATATGTATATGGTTGTAGATATTAATGGTTGAAAGTCAAAGTGAGACTTAATTTTGAGAGGAGTAATGAATAGTAAAATACATTCATGAGATAGTGCATAGGCGTTGTGTACCTGCTAACGAGATTGGGAATGAAATCTGCAAGGCGTTCGTAGTCGGTGAGAGCATCCCAGGTAGAATCAACATCTGCATTGACCAAAATCTCAGCTTTGACTCTGCGTTCCCTCCAAGACACCACTTTCACATCACAATATAGCCATCTTGGGTTCTTATTATCATCGCCACCTTCTTGATTAGCGCTATTGTCCCTCAATTTAGGAAGCCTGCGCTGATGAAGGTTCTCATCCAAGCTTCTAGTGCCGCACAGTGGTGGCACCAACAATCTTCTGTCAAGTCTGCCACTACTACCCGTGCGAGAAGTAAATGATGATAGTGAATATGAAATAGCCAGAGTTTTGGGGCTTAGAGTGGATATGGATATGAAACCAAAGGGTAAGTTTAAAGGCATTATTGCTCAAAGGGGGAATGGCGCATTGTGTGTTGCTGAGCTTGTGAATGGAAGAGTTTGGAGTGTGTACCCTTGGTACGTTTTCAACAGTTAATTCCTGTCCAGAAATGAATGAGGGGTTCAGAATTAACTAACAATGTAGGGTCGAACGTAGAAATTAACTAAACGAATGTTAGTAATATCTCAATTAGTTGTTAGTGACTTGGTGGTAACTGGTAAGTACAGTCTAACCCCATGTACAGCTTTATACAGACCTAACCTTAAATTTTTATGAGTACTTATGAAATTCTAAATGCTCTTACAATTGAATATATCCCATAATGTTCATTATCTTAGTCAAGATCTCAATCTTGATAAGCATGCATGTTATGAATATTGAACTCTTGTATGAGTTGCCGGGTCGTCTCAAAACATTGTGGAAGATGATTTATGAGAACCGACACTCCGACAGTGAAATGTACTCTTTGGGCTCTTTCTATGTGTTATCATTTGATCTTCCCAGCATGTCTTTAGTCTAACTGGTCAGCAAAGAAGCCATAAGAAGTGGTGATGGATCAGATAACGTAGGAAAAGGTCGCAAGTCACTAGACCGTATATGATGGTTTATCCTTATTATAGTTCTCCAAGGAGGTTAGACCAGAGGTGGTGTTTGAGTGTGGACCTTTGGGCTGGACCCACTGGGAATGAACTTAGATCTCTTTGAGCTGTTCTGGACTAGCAGTGCATGGCCTTTTGTATTGAGCCAATTTTTTACAACAGAAGAATGCTTTAGGAACAAAAAAACATCATATTAAAAGATTATTCGAAAAGAAAATTAATAATTTCGAGCACAAAATGTAAGACTTTTGTACACAAGAATCTTACACTCTTGTTTCTCAGGATAAAAGTAATGCTGTTGAAATAAAGACGAATACTTTAAAAACAGTGTTCTATTTCAATGGGAATCAAATTTTCCATTCCAGTGGCAGTACTTGCGAAGACAATAAAAGTACTATGGGAAATAATTGAATACAGTGACAGTAATTAGAACGAGCTGTGTGTGTGTGTGTGATGTCTAGTGTAATACAGAGCTTGGGTGAGGCAGACAAAGCAACCCGTGAATCACAGGTACTCCGTAGTTTACAAGGGAATAAAGTGGGTTTCAATTTTCAGGGTGGGGGTTGATGAGAGTCTAAGCAGACAGAGAGGGCCAACTGTGCTTCACGGCACTGCTGGCGCTTGAGGGCGGTGCCGCCACTAGAGCAAAGGCTGCGTACGGCATCAGACTCTGCGGGACATGCCTCCGCCACAAGGCACTGTGCCAGCGATCGATTCAGGTGGCGGCATGCAATCTCCCGGTCCAGGCCACCGCGAATCCGGCGGTGGCAATTCGTTAAGGCTATATATAGCCGATTGCATTTGTTCACGTTAAACTCACCCGAGGCTGACGGCGAGCCCGTGTCACCAACGGTGTATGGCATGCCGGATTGGACAGAGATTCCGAATCACTGCAAACGTGTACAGGTGGTAAAGCTGATAAGATAGACTTCGATCAGGTAAATTCAGTTGCAAAGAACACTTCCCAATAAATCAAGCTGAACAAAAATCTATTATACTCCGGTAAAGCAAACTCAAATAGGCTGAAATGCTGAATAGGCCGATTCGGTTAGAAGAAGTTTGGGAAGAGGTGGCTTTGTCCGGCCGTCGCCATTTGGAATGGTTTCAGGTGGAATTTTTTGATGAAATTTTTTGAGCAACTTATTCATGAAGTCTAGTTTACGCATACCAAATTTCAGCTAAAACTTCAACCGGGAAGACATTCAAATGAATTCTTAAAAATTACTGCGCAGTTAGAAGCGCAGTTATCTTCAAGAATTCATTTGAATGCCTTCCCGATTGAAGTTTTAGCTGAAATTTGGTATGAGATGCTAAAAAAAATTTATCAAAAAAATACACCGGGAACCACCCCAAATGACGACGGCCGGACATAACTTCCTAAATAAGGGCTTATTTGACCTTTTTGGGTTAGTACATGGGCCTATTTGCACCTTTTCCCAAGAAGTTTTGATTGAAGTGAAGATTCTGATTTATGGAAAATATTAGGGAATACATTTTAAATACTTCCTCCGTTCTACAATTCTTGCAACATTGTGATTTTTACACTATTTGCAGATCTTACTTTGACCATGATTTTCTACTAATATACATAATCAAATTATTACGTATAAAATGTTATTGAACTCTTATCAATGTGAATTTTCAAAATATCAACTTTTTATAATGTTTACTAATACATAATTAAATATAATTACAGTCAAAGTTGTGTATTGGCAAACGTGAAAGTCAAACTGTTGCAGGAATTATAGAACAGAGGATAGTATGTATTACGGAGTATAAAATAAAGAGAAAATTATATGAAAAATAACTTATATAATCGTCTACAGTAACTAATTTTAGACGATACAGTCAAAAGGCAACTTTAACCTTGTTTGTTCTTATTATTACACAATTCGTGCTCGAAATAAAAATTTACGCGTTTGGTTAAAAAAAGTGGTTGATAAGCTAAAAATAGTCAGGAAATCTTTGGTAAACTCATATTAAATTAGATGAATTGACCCATTCACTTGAAATTTATGAAAACCTGATTGAAGTGGCTCAATTGGCTGATTTTGTTGAAATTTATGAAATTCTGACTAAAAAGCTGGATTAACTGATTCTGCTATTTATGGAAAAAAACATCAAAATACCTTTTTATTAAATATAAAAAAAGAAAAGAATTGTGAAAAATGACTACAATGATCCTCTACAATAACTTCAGTCAATATATCCAGAAAGGTAACCCCAACCTTGTTTTTTCTTATTACTCGTATAGTCGTATAACACAATTCAATACTTGAAATAAAAAATTATGGGTTCGGTAAAAAAAGTTAGTTGGTAATATACATAATAAGATGAAAAAGGGTCACCAAACGGGTTATGAATCTAAAACTGAATTTTACTTTGGTACTCCCTCATTCTTTTAAAACGGTGCCATTTCTTTTTTCGGTAATCTAAAAAATATTGTCACGAGTCCTTTTAATCAATCAATTTGTGATTCTTGTCACTTTTCAATCCTTTATACAAACTTCATTCACATAATTTTTATTTTACTACTTCTTGTGTAAGTAAAATTTGCAAAATTTTGAGACCGAGGGAGCACAACATTTCCGAAACCGAATAAATCAAACTGAATCAAAATCTATAAAAATCGAATCATAAACCAAATTGCTAATAACAAATAATAAAGAGAAAATGTCTAAATAGGGGTAATTACGATTTGTAACTCCAAAGTAGGGTTCTCGAAATATGAACTATTATTATCATTATTCAAAATTACTGTGATCAATGTAGTACTCCCTCCGTCCTGCTATGATTGTCCTATTTTACCATTTCGGTCCGTCCCACTAAGATTGTCTCATACCTTATTTGGTAAAGTTTGTGTGGTTCTAAATCATTCCTACTTTATTCTTACTTTATCAATTCAATATCAACCACATAACCCTACTTTTATTAATAACCGTGTCACCTTCTCTTGTCCCAAACTTAGGGGGTGAAGGTAGTAATACTACTGAGTATCATTTAATGTATATTATTGCAATTATTTGACAATTATTTACTCAGTAGTATATTTAATATTGAGTAAATATTATTAATTATTTTAGAAAGTTTTTACTTGAAGTGGAATTTTCTAGTCTGGTGTGGTCTGGTCTGGTCTCGTATGATAAATGATTGAACTATTCTAAAAAAGAAACTTTCCACGTCCTAAAGTCAAGACAGACTACTCTACGCTCACAGCTTTCCACGTCAACTTTAGTTGCTTCTTCATTCTTCAGCTTAGAGCCTCCTATAACGGAAATGATCGGTGTATTCTTGAGACGTTATTGCCGATGATGGTGATGAACGCTCTGAAATTAGCTAGATCATTCGGGAATAGGAGGAACAATACGTCAATTGGTGTTCAGGATATAATAGGACCAAGATTTCGGCGCTTGCTTTCTTCCGCCGCCGCTGAAGGCTACGGAAATAGGTTCGCCGTTCTGTGGGGAAACGGCGACTTCGGGAGGCTGGGATATGGCAGCATTGAATCGCAGTGGAGCCCTAAACCTCTGCTGCCACCCGCTTTTCATGATCAAAGCCTCCGCGACATCGCTTGCGGTGGTGCTCACACTCTTTTCCTCACAGGTTCGCTTGAACCCTCAAGCTCCTTATCATAAACTTATAACTCCCAGTGATTTCGGAGTACTTGATTGTTTGATATAAAGCTCAAATTCATTTTTTAATGCCTGAATGAATTATCGATAACCCCATTATTCGTAGAGGCTAGAATGCCCCTAGAAGATGCAGGAGACCAATATACGCTAAAAGTTGTCAATTTGTAGGATAAACACCACTTTTACTTTCTGGTTCCCTAATCTGGGATAGATGTGTTGAAACTTGCTTTGAGTCAGCGTGGTTAATAATATATTTTTGTGGGATCCGTTTGATAATATGATAAACAATTGATATATTTAGAATATACTTTGAGATTAGATGAATTTAGCATTATATAGTTCGCAAAACCAGTTTGGGTGGAATGAGATATTAATGCTTAAAGTTAGTTACTTAGGGAGTGTTTGCAACTGCTTCTCCTTAAAAAAAAAAGCACTTCTGGAGATAGTAAGAAAAAAGTGATTAGTAAAAGTTGATAATGTTTGAGAAAAAAGTTATTTTGAAAAGTAAAAGTTGATAGTGTTTGGTAAAATAAGTGCTTTTTGTGTAATAGAAAAGGGAAAAACACTTTTCACACGCAAGTCGAGAAAAAGTAAAAATTGGTAGTGTTTGGTAAATAAGTGCTTTTTAAGACAAAAGTTGAGAAGTGCTTTTTTTAAGCTGTTGCAAACACTCCGTTTTAGAGCTACCATGTTTTTAGGCTCATCAGTCTTGTCTTCTCAGCCAACTCTTCCACCAAACACGTAACTTTTGATTTCGCACGCTGAATTGTGTAATAATCAAAATAAGTAGGGTTGAAGTTACTTTTATCCATATTTTAGCTAAAATGTATTTCCATATAATTTTTTCTATACAGTTTTTCTTTATTTTATTAATAAAGTACTCCCTCCATTTCGCAAACAAAGTCACACTTTCCTTTTTTGGATGTTTCAAAAACAAATTCACACTTCAAAACAGTGTCAAACAATGTCAAACAGTGCCAAACAGTGTCTAAACAGTGTCTAAGCAGTGTTTTCTACAGTAAGGTCAATTTATTTCCTTAATCCTAGAGAAGTCAAACCCTGACTTTCTTTGCGAAACGGAGGGAGTATATTTTAAATATATTTTTTTCATAAACCAACAGAATCAACCATTTCAGCTATTTCAACCAGAACTTCATAAATTTCAGCAGAATTAGCTGATTCAGTCAATTTCAATGTTACCAAATGGGTTCTTAGTGTTCATCAACAACATACAACTACAACATCCAAACCTTAATCCCAAAAGATTTTGAGGTCGGCTAAAATGAACCAATTCATGATATCGATGCCAAAAAACGAATAAGATAAAGATAAACAAATACTCCCTCCGTATTTTAACGTTTGCTACACTTTCCTATTTGGGATGTATTTAAAAGTTTGCTACACTTTCCCTTTTTGGTCCTTACTTTTTCTATTTTTTATTTTCTCTTTCCTATTTTTCCACTTTCTCTCCTAGTTTTTCTACACTATTCATTACCTCTACTATTTTCTCCTAAAACATTGTGCCAATAGCTATTATAGAGAACGTATAAATACGAAGGGAGTATAAGATAATAATAACATAAGAATATAAGAAAGATAAAATAAAAATAAAAAGAAAAAGAGCATAAAAAAGCTAGAGGATAAAAATAACATAAGAACATAAAAAGGCAAAGAAGATACACGATAAAAGAAAAGGAGAGAAGAAAGATATAGAAAAGAGATCAATCGGCCACACGAATGTGTGTCCTCCACTTTGCCCTCTCCAAAGCCATATTCTCATCCAACCCAAGAAGACGCATATCCGTTCTGATTCCTTTAATCCAAGTCTGTTTGGGTCTTCCCCTCCCTCTCCCCTCTGTCTCTTCTCCTCACCCCTCAAGTCGTTTAACAGGTGCATCACCCGGTCTTCTATGCACATGCCCAAACCACCGCAAACGAGACTCCTGCATCTTATCTTCTATAGGTGCTACTCCCACCTCTTGTCTTATTATCTCATTCCTCAAACGGTCTTTTCTGTTATGTCCACACATCCAACGCAACATACGCATCTCTGCCACATTCATCTTTTGAATGTGATTGTTTCACCGCCCAACACTCTACGCCATACATTAATGCATGCCTAATTGTTGTTCGATAAAATTTACCTTCCAGTCTAGTCGGCATACCTCGATCGCATATAAATCCTGATGCACTCTTCCATTTCATCCACCCATCTCTGATTCTATGGGATACATCTCCATCTAATTCACCATCTTTCTGAATTATGGAGCCCAAGTAACGAAACATATCACACACCATTATCTCCTTACCATCAATAGTAATCCCACTGTTGCTACTACTTCTACCTTCATCAAACTTGCACTCCATATACTCAGTCTTGCTTCGGCTCAGTCTGAACTCTGAACTCTGAAACCCTTGATCTCCAATGTTTGTCACCATACTTCCAATCTTGCTTTAACACCCGCTTGCGTCTCATCAATCAATACAATATCGTCGGCAAACATCATGCATCGCGGTATATCTTCTTGAATTGACTTCGTAAGTTCATCCATGACTATAACAAATAAGAAAGGACTCAAAGCCGATCCTTGGTGCACTCCGATAGTAATAGGGAACTCTGCGGTCCTCCCTACACTAGTAGTACAAGCCTCATACATATCCATGATGATACTGATATACTTACGTGATATGCCTTTTCTAGTTAAGAACAACCAAAGGACTTCTCGAGGTACCCTATCATATGCCTTTTCTAAGTCAATGAACACCATTCCACAAGGAAAAGTTCTGCATACATTCCATACATAGTTTTATCTTAATATTTTATTATTGTCCTATAATTTCGTCATGCTCTTTGAGTTTATTGTGCTACTACTCGAAGAAGTTATATTTTGGTAGAAGATTGTTGGTGAATTGAAGAGCACTGTACTGGGCAAATTCGTGTTAAAGATAAAGGGTTGTCCCTTGCCTTCTCTTATCACTAGCGTCAGATTATCCTTGCTGTTTTTTTCTATTTTTTATTTACGGAGTATAATTTATTACTCCTTCCGTCCCTTAAAACTTGGCCAAGTTTGACCGGCACAGTGATTAATAAAGTAAAAGTTGTATGGTTGAGGTTTGTGCACATGAGAGAGAATTAATAGAATCACAATTTCTTTACGGAAAATGGCAAAGCTAGTGGGACAACAACAACAAAAAGTTGTCAAAGTTTTAAGGGACGGAGGGAGTATTATATTAAACATTATTCTGCATATATCCTATGATATACATCCAACACAATATTGATATGCTTCCCAGCCTTGGTTACCCTAAACTGTTTTAGACTCTTTGTGAGAATTGATTCTTCTATAATGTTTGCAGAGTTTACCTTCACGCTTCAATGGTTTGAGACATAATTCATTCTTCTGGTTCTCTTTTGGGATTTCTACTTGAAATAACTTCTCTTTTACAATTTTTTTTTTACTTTTTTGTATACGCAATGAGCTATACCTCCATGCTTTATGTACAAATCTGAACATAATTGTTGAAAAATTGGTATATTCCATTTTGGCAATTGCTGGAAGCCTAGAAGATCGTCAAGTGCATTTGTAAGAGATACTCATAAACTAATAGTTCTTTTTGACAGAAAATGGCAGTGTTTATGCTTGCGGTCTCAATGATTATGGACAGCTAGGCATTCCAGATGATAAACGTTATGCCACTGTACGAGCTATCATTCCCTGTCTTTCCTACACTCATTCTTTTGAATCTGGAGATGTGGGCAACTTGTATTTTGAAAGGAGATGTGAAACTTTACTTAAGTTCAAATATTAAAAACTGATCTTGTTGGTTAGTACTTAGTACTGTAGTTGCTTGTGTTGGTATATGGTTTTTCTAATTATACCATATTTTGTCCGTTTTATTACTTTATATATCCTATTATGATCGCTAGCCAGTGGTCTCAAATTAAATTATACTCCCTCCGTCCCTTAAAACTTTGTCATCTTTCCTTTTTGGGACGTCCTAAAAACTTTGCCACTTTCCCTTTTAATCAATTATTTTGTGGTTTCTGTTATTTCTCTCTCCTCTGCACAAACCTCAACCACACAGTTTTTACTTCATTATTCTCCGTGCCGGTCAACTTTGGCAAAGTTTTAAGGGACAGAGGTAGTAAGTTATAGCCATAAGTACTAATTGTCAAGTGTGCTCATATGAAATTACCAGTTTACCACTAATATGCATTGACTGTAAACTTAAATAAAATCACTGTTGCAGGAGCCAGTCTGTGTTGCCTCACTCCCCAAAGACATTGTAAAAATTTCTGCTGGTTATCATCATTCTTGTGCTGTTACAGGTATGTTATAAATGACCTTAATGAAATTTTGCTCCACATTGTAGGGAAAAAATTATTTATCATTCTTGTGCTATCAGTGTGCTTAAGGACTGTAGAGGGCCTAGATCATTTTATGAACATTTTAAACGCTTTACAGAGTTGATATGTGTTGTGACCTTTAGTCAGAACCGATGTGTTACTGATTTATCTTTTCTACGCATAATAACATAGACTTGCATATCAAAAGAAGAAAAGAATAAAATATGCACCCCTAAAATTTCTAAATATTTTTTAAAGTTGGAGTCTGGCTTCAGATTTTCCTGAACTTTACTCAACTTTGTCTGAACTAGTCATTTCCCGAATCTTTTGTAGTTACATTTGAGTCATGTATGTGATGCTCATTATATCATGTTTGCAGTTGATGGTGAACTCTATATGTGGGGAAGGAACTCGAGTGGACAACTTGGCCTTGGAAAGAGTAATATTTTTGCTTATGAAAATTTACTCCTTAGGTTGACTTAGAAGTAATTTTTACTGTAACTGGAAAATATAATACCAGATGATTATTCTAATAATGAAAAAATGCTGAAATAACTTAACCTGTATAATCTTACTGTAATTATCTCTAGAAGCCAATAAAGTAGTTCCATTTCCGAGAAAAGTTGAAAGTTTGAATGGGCTACCTATAAAAGCAGCTTCCTTGGGTCTTGAACATTCAATTGCTGTTACAGGTATGATATAATCTTGGCATCTTGAACATGAAAAATATACTTTTTCCTCTGTGCTATTGATGCTCACTTTTAGTTAATACAGAAAGAAAATGAGTGCATGATATGTAACTTTTTTTAGCAGTTCATGGTGAGGCCTTGAGTTGGGGTGGGGGAGGCTCTGGACAACTTGGTCATGGACTACGTTCAGGAATTTCTGGAATGTTAAAAAGTAACAGGTCCATTATGATGGTTGATAATATTACAATGTTACCTGAAAGGAACATGATCTTCAGTTTCTAGCAATTGGATCCTACCTTGCTAGTCTAACACAAAATCTTCTATATGTTGGTTTATGAAAATGTGTTAATTGGACCCAGAACTACTTCTTACCAAGAGAGAAGGGTCTGCTTTAATGAAGTACCAAACATTTATGATTTATCTTCCTTTTCCTGCCTTTCCTTTCCTTGAAAGCTAGTACCCCCTTCAATACTTTGCAAATCTTTTGTTGCTTGTTAATATCATACCGACTAAAGAAAGCTGCCTCCTTAATTATTTTTTTATCTTTTGAGTATTTCACACTGATCTTTTGTCATAATTCTGTTACTAGATCATTAGAGAGGATATTGGTGAATGTTTGCTATCTCACAGCAGCATAAGAGAGGAGATTATTTAAATGGGTTTGTGCAGTACTGATAGTAAAGGCATAGTTGAATTTAACTAGAATTGTGCCTTCTGGAACAGTTTGGAAATATATCATCATATTGTTGGCTAGAAGAAATCATTTTATCAACACTCTATCGTAAACATGCTTAGATGCTTTTACTCCGAATGGATTCTCATAAATGTATGCCATTGTATTTTAGTGTAAAACGGAATTTACAATTTTATTATTTCCTATTGGAAGAAAAACAGAGAGAGAAGGATACTAACTCTGGTTCTGGACAGGAATGAACTGAGAGGATGGAAGAAATGACATATTTCTCTTTATTTCTCTTTCTTTATCATTTTATTGTCTTTTCCTCTAAGATAATTCATATCGGAGTAAGCTGAAAAACTTTTTATGTTTCGCTTCCCATCACAATTTGAAAATTGAAGTTTTGAACAGTATATTTTCTGCATCAATTTGTTACTTGTTAGAGAGGCACAAACAAGAAGTCCTGTAAAGCACAGCACTGTGTTAAAAAGATCTGCTTGTTAGCCAATAAAAACAACAAGACATTGATTGATGTGCCTCCATATGTTTTATGAAGTACTTTCATGTGATTTGTGGCTCTCTGTCATTTACTCTTTTTTCTTCGAAATGCAGTGAATATGCACCAAGGCTTATAAAGAAGCTTGAAAGTATGAAGGTACAGTAAGCTGTATAAATGCTAAGACCTTTCAGTCATTCAATATCCCCTCTGAGATCAGCATATGCCTAGTAGTAGTAGTAGTAGTAATATGGGTATTCATTGGATCCTCTATGTGTGTGACATCACTCATCTTTAATTAGGTTAAACAAGCTGGTGCTGGGATGTTGCATTCTGCCTGCGTATGTGGTAATGTTTTTATCCTCTTTTTGAACAATGCGCTGAAATGCTATCTGAAAGTATGGAGAAACATCGTCATTTTTTGTTCCGTTTTATTGATTAACCTTGTCATAATCCTACAGAGAATGGATGTGTATATACTTTTGGTCAAAGAGCAAAGACAAAATTTGTAAGCGTCTAAAACCTAATGACTAAGCTTGTACTTATATTTTTGGTTCCAGGATTGTCATTTACTTTGACTATTGTCCGCCTAATTATGTTCTCTTAATAATGTAGGGCTTTGGGGATGCATACTATGATATAGAACCATTTGTCGTATGTGAGTTGCCATCTTCAGAAATGACTGCATGTGGTGGTTATCACACGTGTGTTGTTACAAGTAATGACCTTCTTCCTTAATCTAACAATGACTACATGGTAACATGTGGTGAACCAAATGTACTTTCAACTCTTGTAGAAACCAGATAATCAGTAGATATAAGGCTTTATACATAAGCTAATAATGTTCTGACTTCTGATGAAGTACCCCACTAAATGTAAGTGTGGTCAGCTTTCAAGAATGGTTAGAGAATTAACTACTCCCTCCGTCCCATTTATATTGTCCCGTTTTACCTTTTCGGGAAGTCCCACTTAAATTGTCCCATACCATATTTGGCAAAGTTTGTGTGGCTCTAAATCATTCTTACTTTATTCTTACTTTATCAATTAATATCAACCACACAAACCCACTTTTCTTAATAACCGTGCCACCCTCTTCCGGGACAATATAAATGGGAAGGAGGTAGTATTAAACTAACAAACTTTCCTCTTCCCTGTTGATTTATTTATAGAAAGTTCTTCAATCTGGAATTCTGGATTCCTTGCCTGTTGTTCTTGAGAAATAAATTTCACATTTTCCTGAATTAATAACATTGCCTTTTCATACAACAAAGTGTCTAGAATTACTTATTTTATGCTGGATCCTGGGCATCGCTTAGCCCTCTATAAATCTGGTTTGCACTATATTTTGTTGCAGGTGGTGGAGAGCTGTATACATGGGGCTCTAATGAGAATGGCTGTCTTGGAACTGGGTGCGTTGTAAAAAAAGTTCTTCTCATAATCTCATCAGATATTGGACATAGCATATGTTTCTCCATTAATTATTTATGTTCATTATATCCCAGTTGTATGACATTTACCTATATGTGCACCAGTTGTACAGATGTTACTTATTCACCTGAAAGGGTTCAAGGTTCATATATGATGGATTATGTTCACAAGGTCTGTTACACATTTTACTTTGCACTGTAGTTGGGAACAAAACATTCTTATCAGACCTTGTCATGCTTTTCACTCTTATTGTTGTCAATTGTGTCACTTTTCTTTTGTTTTTTGTAGTTTTCTAAATCAGTATTGTCAGGGTCTAACTAGGATATGTGGTACCTACCCTTTTTGCCTAATCTCATAACTTAATTCTCAAATTACCCTGTAATTATCTTTTCTTGATTCGCCCTGTAATGTGACTATGAGTTATGGATGGAGTGATGGACAATAAAATTCTTTGAATATTTACCATCCATGTGTCTTAAGATTTCAACCGTTGTCATCTCATCATGTTTAATTTGAGGAATTCTAACTTGAGATTTTGTGTAATTGTTTTCGTAACCTGATTAGTGAGTATGGAAACTTAACACACTTACACAAGGTTCTTTGGATTTCTCCTACCTCTTTGGTCATGTGACTATGTGAGAGGACAAGCCCTTGCTTGGTTCAAAAGAGGGGATCAGAAATGAGAGAAGGGGAGGGGTTAAAAACAAAGGTAGTTTTAAAAAAAGACTGTTGGGTTCAATAAAGGAGTGTAGAGGAATTAGCAGTTTGGTTAATAAGTATTTTATTCGTCCCGAATTAGCTTCTCATTTGCTCTATTAAGAAAAATGTCAACCACTTAGTTTTTCCTTGAGGAAAAAGGAAGATAAGTTTGAGACAAACAAAAAGGAAAGTGGGAACTTCTCTTAACGGACGGAGGGAATACAGTTTTGTTATACGAAGTATTAGAAAATAGTCAAAATACTACCTCCGTTCTTTTTTAGTTACAACATGTTGAATTTTACACTATTCACATTGGTAAATTTTTAAAAAAATTGTTAAATTCCTCTCACTTTAAATTTACAAATTCTGATTTATTTTTTATTTTTTTACTAATAAGGAATGGAAGATTTTTTTAAATTTATTTAATAATAAGGAATGTAATATATTAATGGTCAAACATGTACGTCGACAAACGTGAAAATGGAAATGTTGCAACTAGAAAGAACGGAGGAAGTAATTAATCTACATATATCACAAGAACAATCTAGTACAAGTTCGGCTACTAAAAAAAAGACAAAGAATTAAGAATAAAATATCTCCCTCTAAATCCTGAAAAGGAGCATGTGTTTGCATAGCCACCATAGTCCCCTGCATGTCTATATATGAAAATAAGAAATCATTTGTTTGTCACAAGATGTTGCATTATTCTTTTTTTACAGGTATCTTGTGGTTGGAAACACACAGCAGCGATTTCTGGTAATTCTATTGGATTAAGGATTAAAAGTCCGCTGAAATTTATATGGCTTACCTTTTATTAAAAGAGAACATTTATCCAAATACGGAGTATTTCTATTTCAAAAACATAGGCACGCCTTCTAAAAAAAATATGACTGTTTCGAACCGATTACTTCTATTCTCCATTTTTTTCTCTATTTTTTGCTTTTCAGATTTCACTTTCCATCTTTTGTTTGTTGTTTAATGTTTTCCATTTTGTATATTTGATGTTTACTAACACGTAACTTACACACTCATTGACGGTGGTGGTAGGGTGGTTAGTGTGGGCACTATTACCGGTGAATTTTATCTGCAATTGACGCAATCACTAGTAGTGACCATAGTTATGTGTTTTTGGTGTGAAGCAGCTACTATGTGACCAAAATGATATTCTGGGTGATGTGGCCACCAGGCTCTGTTTAATGTTTTGGAAGTACTAGAATGTTTTGTTCTAAATTTGCAAGGAGAGAAATATTGGAGACAGTTCCAAATACGGAGTATTTCTATTTCAAAAACATAGGCACGCCTTCTAAAAAAAATATGACTGTTTCGAACCGATTACTTCTATTCTCCATTTTTTTCTCTATTTTTTGCTTTTCAGATTTCACTTTCCATCTTTTGTTTGTTGTTTAATGTTTTCCATTTTGTATATTTGATGTTTACTAACACGTAACTTACACACTCATTGACGGTGGTGGTAGGGTGGTTAGTGTGGGCACTATTACCGGTGAATTTTATCTGCAATTGACGTAATCACTAGTAGTGACCATAGTTATGTGTTTTTGGTGTGAAGCAGCTACTATGTGACCAAAATGATATTCTGGGTGATGTGGCCACCAGGCTCTGTTTAATGTTTTGGAAGTACTAGAATGTTTTGTTCTAAATTTGCAAGGAGAGAAATATTGGAGACAGTTCCAGAAAATGTGAGAGTTAAAACTTTTTTTCTACTGCCATCCTCTTGTTTTTCTGAAAATGAATATACCTCTCCAATAATTTGTAGGCGAATAGGCGTCAAGTATTGGCCCTTTTCCTTTCTTTCTTTGATATTTTTGTTGCAGTGTGATGTATTGAGAGAGTTGAGGCATCGTGTCCCCTCTCTTAATGCTTTAGCACATTGTTTTCAATTGAGGCACACTGTACATTTTTTCCTTTACTTAATAGATTGTAGTTTTATACGTAATAATTACCAAGTTGAAATACCGCTCTATCTTCATGTTATTGCTACATGTAACTTATTCTTTCAATTAATTCAATCCTTTTGCAGTCAAATTTTGACATCGAATGAACAAATTCACTTGTCAACTGTTTATTGGTTTCTAATGAAGCACTATTTGCCAGTTTAATATATTTTAATGTAATGATAAGTGAACCTTAGTGTCGTGTTACCAGGTGGCAATGTGTATGCATGGGGATGGGGAGGCTCCTATGGGACATTTTCGGAAGATGGACATTCTTCGGGCGGACAATTGGTTTGCGTTACAAACTTTCAAATGAAGCTACATTGATTCTTTATTTATATATATAAAAACTAGTCATACTCTACAGCATAACACTGTTTAAATTTTGCCTTTTGAAAGTGTTACTAAAGATTAAAATGATTAGCCAATGTAAACTCTTCTTTCATTGAGTAGTATATTTATAGTACAATACAACAACCGATCCTACAAAGAAGGGATAAGATTTACAATAATTAATTACAAGTTAACCTAATCTATAGTAACAACATGTAACTAATTGACCTATTCTAAAGATATTCGACACTCCCCCTCAAGCTGGTGCAAAGATATCAATCATGCCCAGCTTGCTGATAAGTTCTTTAAATGCTGATTTGAATAGACCCTTTGTAAGCACATCTGCCAACTGTTCTTGAGTAGAGACATAAGGCATGCAAATTTCTCCACTTTCAAGTTTTTCTTTAATGAAATTTCTGTCAATCTCTATGTGCTTCGTACGGTCATGTTGAACAGGATTGTTTGCTATATTTATAGCAGATTTATTGTCACAGAACAGCTTCATGGGTTGTTCAATTTCCTCTTTAATTTCCTTCCAGATTCTTCTTATCCAAATGAGTTCACAAACACCTGAAGCCATGGCTCTGTACTCTGATTCAGCACTACTGCGTGATACAACATCTTGTTTCTTGCTTCTCCACGTGACAAGGTTACCCCACAGGAAGGTACAATATCCTGTGGTTGATCTTCGGTCATTAATGTTTCCTGCCCAATCAGCATATGTAAATACTTCTAGTTTCCTGCTCTCATTTTTTCAAACCAAAGACCTTTTCCTGGACTTCCCTTTAGGTAATGTAATATTCTGTGCACAGCCTTAAGATGAGTGTCATTTGGACAATGCATAAACTGGCTCACCAAGCTAACTGCAAAAGCAATGTCAGGCCGTGTGTCAGATAGATATATGAGTTTCCCTACCAGTTTTTGATACCTGGTTGTATCCGTTGGAGTGCTCCCATCATCTAAAGACAGCTTTTGGTTTGGATCAATAGGAGTCACAGCTGGTTTGCATCCGAGTAAGCCTGTCTCTTTGAGCAAGTCTAGGACATATTTCCTTTGGGAAAGAGCTATCCCTCTCTTTGACCTTGCCACTTCCATTCCTAGGAAATATTTCAGATTTCCAAGGTCTTTGGTTTCAAATTGTGTGGCTAAAAGTTGTTTCAGTTTCTCAAGTGCTGCAACATCATCACCTGTCATTACAATATCATCTACATACACTATGAGAATGGCTTATTTTCCATCTGAGGAGTGTTTGTAGAACAATGAGTGATCAGCTTGTGACTGAGTGTAACCTTCTTGTTTAATTGTCTTTGCAAACCTCTCAAACCATGCCCTTGGAGATTGCTTTAAGCCATACAATGACTTATTTAACCTGCACACTTTTCCAACTGTGTTATAATTATCAAAACCTGGTGGTATTTCCATCAAAACTTCCTCTTTCAATTCCCCATTAGGGAATGCATTCTTCACATCAAATTGATGTAAAGGCCATTCATGATTTGCTGCTAATGAAAGTAGGACTCTTACTGTATTTAGTTTTGCCACGGGAGCAAATGTTTCTTCATAGTCCATTCCGTATGTTTGTGTAAAGCCCCTAGCGACCAGCCGTGCCTTGAATCTCTCCACTGTTTCATCAGCTTTATATTTGATTGTAAAGATCCATTTACTACTTACAGTACGTTTGCCTGGAGGAAGTTTGGTCACTGTCCATGTGCTCTTCTTTTTAAGAGCATGCATTTCTTCTAGAACAGCCTCTTTCCAGCTACGAATAGCTAGAGCTTCATGTATAGACTTAGGAATCTCATCATCAGTAATACTGGTAGTAAAGGTTTTATAGCTAGAGGAAAGATTAGCATAAGATAAATGATGAATAATGGGGTGTTTCGTGCACTCTCTAGTACCTTTTCTAAGGGCAATGGGGAGATTGGGATCTGGATCAGTGATGGGAACAAAATCAGACTCAAGAATATTAGAATTACCTGGAATTATAGTCGGATCAGATGTTGATGGTGCTAGCAAAGGTGTTGGTGTCACCCCTTGACGAGGACGCCGGGAGTAAACACGAAGAATAGGCTGGGAAGTTGTTTGGGCCGGAACATGTTCATTTTTAGCAGGAATCACCGGATTAGGTAGGACATATTCAGTAGGAACGACTGGCTGATCTTCAAGTATAATATCTTTCTCCCCCTGAAGATCAGTTTTGGAAAAGAAAGGAGTATTTTCAAAGAAAGTGACATCCATACTGATGATGAGAGTTAAAAAGTTTGTACAATTGCTCTAGCTGCCCCTTGGAGAAATAGGACTGCTCATTTTGTTGAGATGCACTGGCACTGGCTTCTTCATAAGACACATGGAGACCTTTATACTCTCTTTATTACCTTGTGAAGAATCATCAGGCTTTCCATGTAATATCCAACATTTTGCTTTCACATGACCAACACGGTGACAATACTCACAGAAAGGTCGATTACCTCGTTGTGGTGGCCGCGAGGAATTTTGCTTTGGTCTGTGAGTCACCAAGGCTGAGATTTCTGATGCGGAGTTTATTGGATTATGACCCAGCATTATTGCCCGCCTGCTTTCTTCACGGCAGACCTCTGCAAAGACATCTCTTGTGATTGGTAACGGATGATGGCCCAGCAATCTGCCTCTAACTTCATCTAATTCCTTGTTTAAACCTGCAAGGAAATCAAAAACTCGCTCCTTCTCCACCTTTTTTTGAAACTTAGCATTGTCAGCCAAACAACTCCATTTATAATCACTATAGAGATCAGATTCCTGCCATAGGTTTTGAAGCTCTGTGTAAAATTGAGTGACAGATTTCTCACCTTGTTTGGCTGTTCTGAGGCGCTTTTTTAACTCAAATAATTGACTGGCATTAACTACATCAGAATAGGTTTCCTTTACAGCCGTCCAAATGTCACGAGCAGTTGGAAGAAAGAGATAAGTACGGCCGACATCAGGTTCCATAGAGTTGATCAGCCATGACATCACCATTGAATTTTCCACCTCCCATTTATCATGAAGTTTATCGGAAGTTGATGTTTGGGAGACATCGCCGGATAGATAACTGAATTTACCCTTCCCTTGAATGAAGAGTTTGACAGACTGAGACCATTGAAGAAAGTTTCTGCCATTGAGTTTATGGGAAGTTATCGACAAGCCTTGAATAGGCTCAGAATTAGAGAAGGAAGATGATCCGATCAAGTGAGGAATCACTCGTTGAAATCGAGTGTTCAGAGGTGGTCTGGGGATCGGCCATTTTTTTTTCTTTTTAGGTTAGCGGCTCTGATACCATAAAGATTAAAATGATTAGCCGATGTAAACTCTTCTTTCATTGAGTAGTATATTTATAGTACAATACAACAACCGATCCTACAAAGAAGGGATAAGATTTACAATAATTAATTACAACTTAACCTAATCTATAGTAACAACGTGTAACTAATTGACCTATTCTAAAGATATTCGACAGTTACGGTTGTCAAACACTACTTTGAGTATATGTAACATTGGATGTTTTTTGTAATTGGTCCTGCTGATCTTGGACATTTTTTGGCTTTATGTACAAATATATTTACTGAAAATAATGATAAGGCCCTTCCAATACATCCCTTCACCCCACACCCACACCATGTTTTTTCTATTGCTTTTAGTGTGTGTGTGCGTCTTCAGCATTGGATTGAGGTGTTTTCTTGTGCAGGGGCAAGGAAACGACATTGACTACATTGAGCCTGCACTGGTTAACTTTCAGATTGGCGTTAGAGCATTGCAAATATCATGTGGATTTAATCACACTGGTGCTGTAGTTGAATATACATGAACAACAATAACCTGAGGAGCCCCTCATCTTATCAAGGAAAAAGGAAAACAGGTTTGAAGAGTGCACATCAAACGATATGAGTCATGACTGTAATTCATTCCTTAGACGTCATCAAATATCGTGTGTTGTGCCATAGTAATCGGATAGGCTCTGTATATGTATTGTATTTGTTCCTCCAACTTCCCACCGCTCGGCCAACTGAGCTACCCATGGAGGCGTATGTGTTGTATTTTATTCGTGAAACCACATCAACTTGTATCATGAGACAGCTCCACCAGGGCTGATTCCCATAATGGTCAGCCCAATTCGGGGAGTTAAGAGCTGAAGGTAGATTTTGTGGGTCACATAAAATAAAGGCTAGAACATACGGAGTATATAGTAGAGCAAAACGGAGTGTAAATTCTAGAAGGACAGATTGCCATTTGCCAAGTTTCCTGGCATTATATTTCATAAAATAATTATAGGAATTGTGAAACTCATAGTGAATGCAAGGAAAACCATATGAAATACTTACTCTCACTACTGTGCTTAAGTGCTTGTTTGATTTGAGGATTTCGGAGGTAAAGAATGGCAAGGGTTGATTTTACTAATTTACTTTACTAATTTTTACTTAACTAATTTACTCAGCTTGTTGTAATTAGCATTTAGGTTGATAGTGGGTTTTTATATAGTGATTTCAAAAATGTGTCAAAGCTTCTATGTTACAATTAAGCAGGTGCTAATGCTTAGAGGCCGTTTGCTAACATTGTTTTTCAACTTATCAGGCTTATAAGTCAATTTTTGCTTTCGCGTGCTGAATTGTGTAATAAGCAGAAAAAGTAAGGTTGGAGTTACTTTTTTGGCTGTATTGGCTGAAGTTACTGTAGATAACCATTTTAGCTATTTTACATATAATTTTTTCTTTATTTCATTAATAAAATATATTTTAAAAATATTTTTTCTTATATCAGTAGAATCAGCCAATGCAATCAGTTCAGCCAGAAATTCATAAATTTCAGCAGAATTAGTCAAAGCAGTTGATTTTCGTGTTACCAAACGGACTGTTAATGCGCTAAATTTCTACATCAGAATGAGGTTTGGTGCATTAAACCCATGAGCATTCGATTCAAGTGTACAAAATGAACGAAAAATGAAGAAGAATGAGATTTATTTGGTTCTTATTAAGTATGAACTCTTGCAATACACTCAAGAACAGTTCTAATTCTATGTATTTTGCTCTAACCAACTGTTAAAGTGATGTTTTCCAATGAGAGTTATTAATGCTATTAAATGTTGGAGTGTTAAACCCTCTTCTGAATTAAGAGGGGCTATTTATAGTAAGGCGCGATAGTTAGGATTGGAGATATGTCACCCCTCATTGTCGAGCTATTTCCTTCCCATACGTGACATAATTCAAGTATTGAATATTTTCCCCTCCAATTCTTGATTTGTCAAAAGTAATGGTATAGACCATCCTCCCTTCCCTTTCTAAATGTGGGGCTTGGCCATCCTGGACAAAAGATCGGCCGGCGGCTAAATCGGAGGACCGGTAGTTGGTATGTGGTATACCTTGGCTTGACCCGATTTTTGGTGCTGCACAGTGTTTCTGGGCATAGATGTCTGCACTGTAATCCATGACTTAACTCGATTGTGATCTGGATTGGTACATCACATGATGTCCAGGTTAGGTCTTTATGTGCGTCATCAAACTATCTTGGGTCCGATACGTGATGCTGGGTTGGCCTGATGTTGTTCGTACAATATCCGAACAACCAATTATCTATTGAAAATAAAATAAATTAAAATTATAAAATTTTCATGAAATTTTTAAAAATGCATTAAAGAGAAAAATTGTCAATGTAAAACTTAGAAAGTGGACAATAAAACGATTTATTGAAAAGTGTTGCAATACAATCAAACATTTGTTCCTTTTCTTCAATTTTTTAATAAAATAAAACGTACGGAGTATTTTAAACGTAGTATGTATTTTTTCAAAGTTAAGTAAATTTAGCCATTTCAAATTGAGAAAATGGTCAAAATGGTACATCAAGTTGTATCGACGAGAGTAAGTAGGACTTTATCTTGAATTTGAAATTTTAATGTACATGAATTTGTATTTGTACAGTCAATCAAGTACATTTGTCTATCAGAACGCTAAAATAGCTGACATGACCAAACTATCCGTTTGTATTATACAGTTGCAGTCCAAGTCATCAAATAATTAATCTATAAACTTTAATATTCTTCAGTTCACTCGTTTCCATCTTCTCTTTTCATTTTATATTTTTCACATTTGCTTTGCCTTCTCTCGCTCTTCATCTTATATTTCTCTCGTCTGCTCTCCAAGGGCGGAGCCGCACTGGGCCGGACTAGAGCAGCACAAAAAATATTTTTTGGGAAAAAATTACACAAAGTTTTTACTTTAAAATTAAAGCATTTTTTAAATTTGAGGTAGGCCAGGGCCTAGGTTGGCCCCCTCTAACTCTGCCTGTGTTGCTATCCTTCTCTTTCGTCTTCTCTCCGTGCTATCCCACCCGCTTATTCTTTTATTTGTCATCGGTCCATCTTTATTATAGCAAGAGAACAAGAAAATAAAATAGCGCGGATAGAAAGGAGAGCAAACAAGAAAAATACAAGATGAAGACTAAAGAGCGAAGATGAAAACGAGTGGACCGGAGAAAAATGGAATTTATAGATTAAATATTTGATGACTTGGACTGTAATTGTATATTACAAACGGATAGTTTGGTGAGATTAACTATTTTAACATTCTAATAGAGCAAATATACTTGATTGACTCTAAAAATACAAGTTCACGTAGTTTAAAATTTCAAATGCAAGATGAAGTATTAGTTACTCCCGTCCATACAATTTCATGTATTACCATTTTCTCATTTCAAATTAGTCTATTGTAGATTGTAGATTATAAATAAAGTATAAAGATAGTAAAAACCCCTAGTGAGAGCTTAACAATGCCGGCGGCTGCAATTCTATTGAACTCATCGATTGAGTAGGTGGGAGGAGAGTAATCACTGAGGAAATCACTACATAGAAGTGGAAGAGGAGTAATCAAATCTTCTATCTTCCAGAACTGAATATTTGAGCGAGTGAGGGTAGTACAAGTAGCTGCATCTCCCACTCATTTTTCGTTTCTGTTGTGCATCATGTATTGCTGAGCACGTTAAAGAAAAGACAACTGATGCTCCGATAGTCTGGTTTGCATATGGGATAACCAAAGAAGATGGCTGGGGAAAAAGTTTCCATAGATGATAGGATCCCAACAAGTGATAGGATTGACATTTGGTTTTTCATAGATGTAGATTCTTCTTTGTTTATCCTCAAGCACAATTCCCTTTTGTTATTTACTGAGGGTTATTGTTATTATACGTAGTAATACTGAATAACTTAAAGCAATTGATCTAGTAACTTACATAAGCTGATAAACAAAAGTAACTTTATACTTTTTATATTGAGACTTGAGTACAAATAATGATAGTATTACAACAAAGGTGTTCGTAATTTATCCATTCATAATCATAAGCAAATGCTCAATGAAACTAATCTATGCCAAGGGCTTTCTTGACTATTTGAGGGCTTTCTTGACTATTTGAGGGTTTTCTATAACAGTATGGCAACAACATATAATACGGAGTAAATAAATTTAGTCAAATCCTTTATACTCGATCTATGCACCTAGCCTATATTCCTTCATTAGCAACTCATTCATTTGAATGCGAAGCAAACAAGAGTAGCAGCAGTATAAGATCCCGTCCAAATTTAGCCTTAGCAATTCCGTGGTCATTGAAGACAATTGCGAAAAAATCGAATTCCCTGTTCAAGTAAAACTGTTGAGCAAGCCCAGCCTCCAAACATATATAAATACACAAAAAAAAAAAATGATTACCTGCAATGCAAAAGTGATGTCTGCTTCATCAACCATCAAAGTCACTCTTCTCAATTTAGCGTCTCGAGATTGTCCTATCTTTAGCAGCCCCTGCACATAAATTTGCCCCTAAGTTTCTAGTTCCTTTCCATTTTTTGTCAATCTGAGAAAATTAAGACATTTCTGTCTTTTAAAGACTACCTGGTCAGCAAGCACCCTGCACATACTTGACAGTTCCATAATACCAATAGCTGGAATTAAAGTTGATTTACAGACATCCATGTAGTGCTTGCTCAACTGCAATGTACACGCCATATGCATGAGTATTAATTACATCCCAGATAAAAATAATGCTTGAATTAATATTAATGACAACTCTTTTTACCTCGCCTATAGTTGAATCCTTCTTCCCCCCACGAAACAGCTTTACAGCAGAACAAAGAATGATCTGTCACAAAAGGCCAGTTTAGTGATACATACCCAAATGCTAATAAGAATGCCAGTGTAAAGTGAAATACCTGTTGATGTTGGGGAAGAGACTGAATGGTGTCTACTGTGGGGGATTTGTACGCATTTGATAAAGCCCTAGCAACATGGTCAACCCTCACCTATACATGTTGATGCAATAGTGAGATCAAAAGCCCAAGTCGGAATCAAATTTGCCATAATGAACCTTAAGTGACTTACATAATTGTTATCTGGCATCCTCAGAGTAGCAGAAGGGGGATTACAAACTTCTGTCTCAATCATAGACAACCTTGGGCTATTGATAGAGTGTCTAATCTCAGCTTCTAACACCTCAATTGCACTCCTAGAAATCCAGTAACAGGAAATTATTTATGGTTAGTTAAATACTCATATAAAAAATCAGAGCTGATGTTTTATATTTACACAGGATGTGGAATATCTTATTTTCACTTGAGTAGCAATAAAGTGGCAGATACGAAAAATTGAAAATCATGTCACCAACCTGCAAATTGAAAGCGCTTTCCTCATATCTCCAGATGCAGTTGCAATTTTCTGTTATTCATGATGATGGAATGCATTTTGTTAAATCAAAGTTGCAGTGTAAATCAAATTGCAGATTAAGAATTTGGGAAAGAATTGTGCATGCACTATGAGAACAGATGCTACTAATCCTACCTTTGCACATAGCTCCAGTGCTTGAGGCTGGAAGATTGTGTACGGAAGTGCCTGTTGAAGGAAACATACAAATGTATAAATAGCTCAGAAAATATCACAAATATGGCGCCATATATACTAAAATTGAATTGAGACAAGGAAAAGAAGTATATGGTACATACTGCTAATCTTTGTTGAAGAATCATGATGATCTGGTGCTTGGAGTATGCACGAAATGTTATAACCATCGGCTTGCCTGGAAAAAATGGCAGGCCATATATTAGCACTTCACAGTGACGTTTTATTTATTTATTATGGAACGTATATCGTTATATCTCGTGATTTAATAAAATATTGAAGCTCAAAGTAATAAATACCACTCAAAAGTATTTACTTACAGTTCAAAGCCTGAAGTTTGGGAAGGAATCTATCAGCAAGGTCAATAGCATTAGCGATTCCTGATAAGGTGAGGCCAAATAGTGGTCAGTCTTTGCAAACTCCACTCAATACTATCAGCATCAAAACTAGAAACAAGCACATGTTCAAATGAAAGACAAAAGGAACATTTCCATACCTAATATAATACAACGAGAGAAAGGAAATGTT